TCCCCTCGGGGCACTCCCGCTCCCCTCGGGGCACTCCCGCTCCCCTCAGCGCGTTCCTGCTTTCCTGAGAGCACTCCTGCCGCCCTCAAGGTATTCCAGCCGCCCTGAGGGCATTCCCGCTGCCTTCGGGGCACTCCTGCTTCCCTCAGGGCACTCCTGCTCCCCTCAGGGCATTCCCACTTTCCTCAGGCAATTCCCGCTCCCCTCAGAAGCGTTCCCGTCCCCCTCACAGCAATCCTGCTCCAACCAGGTAGTTCCTACTCCCCTCAGGGTGATTCCCACCACCCTCAGAGGAATCCCTCTCCCTTCGGGGCATTCCTGTTCCCCGCAGGTGAATCCTGCTCCCTTCATAACATTCCAGCTGCCCTCAGGGGATTGACTGCTCCCCTCAGAGGAACCCCACTCCCCTCAGGAGTGTTTCCATTTCCCTCAGGGCAATATCACTGCCTTCAGGGGCATTCCCGCTCCCCTCAGGGTATTTCCACTCCTCTCAGGTCAATTCTGCTGCCCTGAGGGCATTCCCTGCTCCCTTAGGGCAATCCCGCTCCCCTGAGGCTGTTCCCTGTCCCCTTGGGGCAATCCCGCTCTCCTGAGGCCATTTCCTGCTCCCCTTGGGGCAATCCCGCTCCCCTGAGGCTGTTCCCTGCTCACCTTGGGGCAATCCCGCTCCCCTGAGGCTGTTTCTTGTCCCCTTGCTGCCTGGGGTGATTCTGCTCAGCCCCCTGCCCTGTGAAGTGTAGAAGGCTCTTTCTTTCTACCAGTGTTCTTAGGTCTCTGCCCTGGGAAAAAAGCCTATAAAACAGAATATAGAGAGTAAACCTAGTGCTGTTCTGAGTGCAAGGAGCACATAGTAGCTCAGCTGGCTGAAAACCCACAGAATTTGGGGGTAAATTATTTTTTACCCTTACATTCTGCCCATTCTTCTGGGCAATAAATGGAAGTACTGGCATTTGGGAAGGATTCTGCTGCATTTAATTTGTTGTCAAGGCAAACCATAAAAGTTTAGGAAATGAGTGAGCCCACTGCCAGCCCTGGTGCTGTGGGGCCATGGGGCACCTCGTGATGCTTTTTAAGAGCCAGGGAGGGGATGGCACTGGATACAAGGGAGTGCTGATTTCCCTGTTGTTTCTATAAACTCTAAACAGGTCCAGGTTCCAGTGTTCACATTGAGGCAGCTCCCTGTAACTCTCATGCTTCAAACCAGTGGGGTTTAAAAGTTCTCCAGCTATGTTAGCACTACATCCATGGTAGGAATTCCTCCCAAAGGAAGAGACCAAAATCCACCCCATCATATTTTCTGGGTTATAATTGCCTTCTCTGATTCATCACACAGCCTTGGAAATGCCCTTTCTGCAGATGAGAACATCCTGAGGTAATAAAGAGGATGATGTTTCAGCCAATAAAGAAAAAAAAATGAACTTTAAACCATCATCTAGAGGAGGATCATACTAAGAAGGAAACCTTTGTACATTAAGAATATGTGTGGAACTAGCACAGACCTGTCTGCATTTGATCATTTAGGAATGTCCCAAAATTGCTGATACAGACCTAAATGGAGAGAGAAGGAAGTGCTTTCTATGCCCTGAAAACACCTTCTCTGCTTCAGCAGGGCTGGGGATTTGTGTTATTCGAGAATATTCAGGAAATGTTGGTACAGAGAGAAGAGATCATCTTTTATTTGGGGACTGGATGATGTTTAAGGTCCTTTCCAACGTAAGCCATTCTATGATTTTATTTCAGTTTATCCATTTTGTGCTAAATTTCCCATGTAATCTTTCTGGGTTTTACTATGTCTGTAATTCTGTCTGTTCCCTGGTTTTGTCTGTGGAAGTGTCCCAAGGAGGGGCTGTGAGCTGTGCTTGTCAGTGAGTGAGGGAGACTGTAGGAGATGCACCACCAAAAATGCAACAAGGCCCTTTCTCCTTTTCATTTAGACCATTTTTGGAAATCCACTGGAACTGAGGCACACCAGCAATCCATCTTTGCTCCGCAAGATCCATGTTACCACAGGACCTGAAGTGTCAGGTATTGACTGATCCACTTGTGCAAACCCATCAATTTTGCTTAGACTAAATGAAATGTTTGATAGTATTTCCTCTGAAGCACCAAGGCTGAGGAAAATGGATAACATCTATTAAACATTCTGAATGAAAAATATTTTAGGAATAAAGCTGGAAGTGCATTGCCAGCTCAGAAACGAGCACGAGAGCCTGGTGCAGAGACATCGGGCTGTGTCTGCACTGGCAGCCAACCTCACACCACAGCCTGGATTCACTAAGCCAGAACTCATTGATATTGAATAGTCTTGTGTGTAAACAGGCACAGGCTTAAGCTGAGCTCTGTGGAGCTGGAGCTCTCCTGAGGGGAGAGGTTTAAACCTTAGCACAGAAGCACTCTTTTCCATGCAGCCTGCAGCTCCTCGGTGAGGACAGGAAATGCGTGGGTGAACTTGGGGCATTAGAGACAAACCACGGGGAATTCCTTTAAAATTAGGAATTCTGTCTAGTTAGCACTTGCTGGAGATTTTTATCCTGTGTGCTGACCTGTTTTTCTGAATGGACAGTGTGTCCATCCATAATTAAGATATGGTGAAAGTTTATTGTATTAGTATGTTGGAATTTTGGATTGGTTTTGCAATAAAGGAATGGCACTGAGTCATGGTTACTAAATGGATTCATGGAGGACACTGTTCTCTCCTGCACAGCAAACAGAAATATTAGGAACTGAAATTAATTTCTGTTTTAGTCCAGATAAAAGCAGCCACGTTGTAAATAAGGCTGTGGCTTGATGACACGAAGCCTTTGCTCTATTACTGGTTCCTACTTACTCCTTGTTCCTTCCTTGTAACACAGCACACCAGCCCTCAGCTGTGTGTGGTGCACTGGGAACCACATCAGGACACTGAAAAATGAACCAGGTGACAATCTTTATAAAGATATTTTATGTAAAATACATCATGGCTAGGCTTCGCAAACGAAGATTTAGGATGTAAAATACATAAACACTTTTAAAACAGATGCACATATTTTTAAAGCCAGATAGATCAGTTCCCCAGTCTGGTTTCTAATTCAGAGGTGCAATGGATGGATGAGATTCTTCCCTGCTGGTACAGAAGGAAGCAGTCAGAAGAGCAAAGTGGTTAAATATGAGACTGATCCTGGTGAAAAAGGATCCCAAACCAGAGCTGAATATTCAGTGTGAAAAGCATAAAGGGATTTCTCCACTGGATTGTTGTGCTAGCAGTTAATGTGTTGTGTAAATCTGCCCGACACTTTCAGATATAAATATTTTGCTTGGGAAACATCTCAACATTTGGGGGAGAAACAGTTTCTGGGGTAACTCTCAAATGGTAGCTTTGGTTAACCTTATGTTGGTGAGAATCTCTGTGTCCTCTCTCACAAAGCCCCCACTCATGGTCTTCACCCTATTGATTTTGAAACAACAAAGTTCTTCTGCAGAACTCTAGGAGTTTTTATTTACTTGCAGTTCTGCTGAATTACTTGTGTAGCCTTTGCTAACTGAAAAGACTCTGTGACAAAGTACAGCAATCTCAGTTTGAGCTTTTATCAGCTCTAACTGCTGATCATTTCCTGCCTGTGATTTGTGCAGTAACCACTGTGTGAGGAAAGATTATGGGCCACAGACCTGTGCAATGCATGTGCCAGGATTAAAATGCTGCTCTCTGACAAACAGAACCAAAAGTATCAAATAAATACGTGTGGCTGTTTACAGAATATTAAAAATAATTTTTATTTCACATGAAGATTTAGAAAGCTTTTTTTTTTGTAAAATATGAAAAAGGAACATAAAATTCAATAAGCAAACAACAGAAAAAAATAACAGCAGGGAAATTGAATGAGAAAGCAAAATCACATCACACAAAGGTTTATAGATTATTTTAATCCCATTCATGTTGCATAAAACTTGGTAACTGTGTGTTGCTGTTGTCCTCTTGTGGGAAGGTGCAAGGAATATATGACTGCACAGTATTAATTGGGGACTCAACTTTGATGTTTCATCACAAACAAACCTAAATTCCCAACCCACACACAAGAATGTAAACACAATTAGAAAACAAATCCCACAAACAAGGAGAGAGAGTCATCCCAGGAATTTATGATTAAATGGCCTGGAATCTCCCTTTTGTGGAAAGCAGAGCAATAGAAGCACACGTGCATGAAGACACAGGGGATTCTGGTAAATCCAAGGCCCAAAGCACATTGTTTGCATCCATTCTGCCAGATTCTACAGCACTTTTGTTGCTTTGGCAGTATTTTGTTATGTTTACTGCAAATTATTGCTACCTGTGCACTACATACTGTATATTTGTAGGAAGCAGTCAGAGTCCCAGGGTTTGGAGTTTGTCTGTGGGAGCAACCAGAATATTAAGAAATATAGTATAAGAATGTTGCATGTGTTAGTAATGATTTAGGACTGTTCTACATTATCTTTCCTTGTGGTGTTTTATTAACAGTAGTCAGTTATTAACAATGTTGGAGTACTTTATTTGATGGATCTGTAGAATGTTTTCATTACATGTAAACAGATTGATTCCCTGCTTCCAGAAAAGTGCCTGTTGGCAGAAAGAGGGCATCTGGCTTTTCTTAGGAGGAGAATAACCCATCTGACTTTTTACAGTGGAGCAGATATGATAATATAAGGGGGGGGAAAGGTACATGAAGCAAATCACTTTCCTGGTTTGCTGTTGTGAATCTTAGTGATGGCTTTTCCTAATTTTTTAATTACACTGTTGAAGTGTTGCAGCTGCTTTGTAACCAACTCAGATTTCTTTGTATCATAATGCTTCTGTTGCAGGATTTTAAATGAGAAGGCAGGAATATATCACCTCCCAAGAAAGATACTGTAGCAATAGATAAAATAACATTCCATTGGGTCAACTTCGGGTCCCACTGCATTTTCTGTTATTTTACAGTACTGGACTTGATCTTCGGTGATGCTCAGCCCAAATGTCTGGACTCCCCTCCCTTATTGACTTCTTGAAGAAAAGAGGTAAGGTACCACCAAAATTCTAGCAATTATTTCTATAAAGCCAGTGTGATGTTCAATTTACTTTATACCCTTTAATTGCAACACTGTTCTCTTAGTTGAAACTGATAACAGATACTAAGTAGATTTGATCCAATTCAACAATATTATCAGTATAGTTCTGTGCCTGGGAGGTACTGCTGCTCTCTGATACAGACTATGAAGCAAATAATGTGTCTCTGCAGGGTTTAGAATTTGACCTCCAGCCACCTTTGTTCTGTTAACTGTTTAAAAACAAACCTGACTCTGCGCCGTCTGTGTTTATGAGCAGGCGCTCCTTGGGCAGGGGGGCCAGAGGAAAGGGCTGTGTATGTCAAGGGGTATTATCCTGTCCCTGACAGGAAACACTTCCCCTTGAAGTCCCAAGGGGACTGTGCAGCCTGCTGCAGTCTTACTGGAGAAGCAGGAGGCACGAGAAGTCTGCAGCAGCAAACTCCCTGCCACAAGGTTTGGGAGCAGCAGCGAGGAGTGCGGGACACAGAGCAGAGTGAGCTATTTCTGGAGCATGTTCGGGTCTTGTTCATTCATTATTGCAACATAATAGATGGAGCACCTTTATTTCTACAACATAAGTGTAAAATACTCAGTAGAGGTGAGCTTGGGGGTTTTAATCACCTTTCATTTGGAATCGTTGCTAGAGGACAATCTTTGGACAGTCATAGGGCCAGTTTCCTTCCAGCCTCCTTGTGAATGCAAGAGCTGCTTGCATTCTGCATGGCCACACAGTGTTCTTCACTGGGATGGCATCTACATTTGGAAAACTAAAGCAGAGAGCCCCTTGGTTCACACCACTACAACTTCCTCCAAGTCCTTTTCGAGAGCAGGATCTTCCAAAGTGTCTCTTTTTGGTGATATTTCATCCAGTCACACGCCTGGATCCAAGAAATGACTGCACCAGTCCTATAGCCATCACCGAGGGGACAGTGCTCTTTGACAGCTCTGCAAAGAATGTTAAAGGATAAAAATGAAGATCCCAAAACTCATAAAAACTGACAGGTTCCTTTCATCAGTTCTCCATCAAGAGCTTACTGCAAAGCCTTCAGCACAGCAGGTGCCAAAGCAATTGAAATGTGCACGTAGAAAATATCTCCATAGGGATCTCTGCTTTGTTACCTGATTTTCACCCACTTCTGGAATGGAAGAGAGACTCATGTCCATTAATTTAATAGTATTTAACACCATCCTACAAGGGAGTGAAGAAACATCTCAACATTAAGATGTTAGAGAGGCAAAATGTACTAAGATACCTTGACATTTCTTTTCTCACTGGAGTTTTTTGTTACTAAAATTGCCCTAGAACACCTCTGGTATTTACAAATCAATTTTTAATAACAGTGATATGCATCCCAAAGGAATGAAAAGAAGAATGTGGGATGGCTGCAAGTCTCATCAAGCTCTAACGTAGCTCTGAAGCCATACTAGTTAAACATACTTTTCTTCAAAACTCTGTTCAGGCAAAGTGACATATTTCTAGTGAGACTGTTCAGTCTCCACCAAGAAAACGACATGTCCTGAGGAAAAACAAGATCCATCCAAAGTAATTGCTGTGTGCTGCAGCTGGAGCTCTGTTTCCAGAAAATAGCTAAATATAAACATTCCTGAGTGAATGGGTGGGAAGCCAAGACTGCCCTGCAGCACAGACACCCACTAAATAGGATTACCTATGAACAAGCTAATCCACAGGAATTCATTCTGCCCCAGCACTGAGAAGGAGATCAGGAAAAGAAGCAATACAGCTGCTTAAAGTACAATTATATAATTAATAGAACTTCTCTGGAAATGCCATTGTGGCATCTGGTACGAGTTATTTCCCACATTCCTCAACCAAGCTTCTCCATATCCCAATGCAGAGGTTACATTTGTTTAGCTGTCAGTCAGGAACTCTGCACACATCCCCGGGGACCTGCAGCTCTGGCTGGTTTGTTCTGCTTGTTGCAGTGCCACTGGAGGTGATGTGGAAGGAGACACACAGCTTCATGATTGTGTCCCAGACTCCCACTTGGAAAGGACACCACAGCCCCAACTCTAGGACTTCCAATGATCTTTGTACTTGTACATCACTTCTGGTTTTTTAGGTGCATTCTAGAATAGAAATCTAAAGTGCCACAGCAATAATACAGCTGTGAAAAAAAAGAATAAACCTTTCCTAGGAATACTTTATTTTTAAAAATAATTCTGCCACCACTTGGAACTGGGTTTTGTCAGACCCAGTTGTTAAGAGTTCCATGCTTCTGCAACATGTACTTTGGGCTCTTTCCTGGAGAAATGTAATTCTGCAGAGTTGCCTCCTTAAATTCTGGACCAGATGCTTCACATTTTCTGAGAGCTTTCATGGATGTATTACATGAGTTTCTTGACCATAATTATGGACCTTTGCAGTAATGACAGTCCTCTGTGCTTCCCCATTAGGGTGAATTCAGATGCAGGGAATGGTAGTAAGTTCAGTAAAAAAACCCCAAAGGTACCTGCATTTGACACAGGATATTCCAGCATTAATTCTCTTCCAGATAGTTCTCTCCCAGAACACTCAAGTCATCAGGAAACCGTTTTGTGCTTTTGTACACAAGGCTATTGATGGTGTTTTATGGGCTCATCCTGTCAAACAATGTGAGAGCCCTGAGAGACTGTTCCGAGCAGTTGTAGAGCCTGCCTTGAATTTAAACTATGCTTAGGGAGAACGACCTTGTTACATACATTCTAGAGGGGAGTTAATGTAAGAAAACACACCTTTTCCATACAGTGTTAGCAAAAGTGCTGCTAAGCCAGGTGAGTTTAGACTATGAATAATTTATCTGGCTCAAGTTAAGACTCTGCAGGCTGAAAATAATAAAAGAGTTTTGGGTAAGACCTGTCTCCCTCCAGCCCAGTCATCCCTACTTGTATGAGCTTCAAAATACTGAGAGAAGAAAAATATTGTTACTAGAAAAATGGAGGAATTTGACTTAGATATGAAACAGTTCCTTTCAGAAATAGAATATCTCTGTAACTGCAGTTTAGATATTTAAGATCCACCTCTGCCTGAAGAGCCTTCATCTGTGTTTCAACCACCAAGTTTCTATGATGGACCTGACTGAATATGTCATCTGATGTATCCTGGTGTCACGGCTCCAGGATGAAGGACCAACCACCGCCTCCCTAAGATCCTGCTCTATGGTGAACTTGCCACTGGCTGCCGCAAGAGAGGAGCCCCGAAGAAAAGATACAAGGACTCCCTGAAACATCTCAGCCTTGGCCACATTGATCAACAGAACTGGTCTACCCTGGCCTCCAATCGGGAGGCTGGAGACAGACCATCTATAATGCTGCTGATGCCTTTGAGAAAGCACCAGGATCACCCTTGAGGAGAAAAGACATCACAGAAAGAATCGTGCCTTGCAGAATTTACCACCTAAGGAGTCTTTCTGCTGTGTCTTTTGCAACCGGACATGCCTGTCTCGTATTGGCCTTTTTAGCCACCAACGCGCTTGCAACAAACGTGGGTAGAGCCCTTCCCAAATCTTCATTTGCAAAGCCTGGCCATGATGATGATAATATCCTGGTGTGTCTTCTGACAGGAAGGGAGCTGATATGAAATCTATTCAACTATCAAGACCAGAAATCTCACTTCTAGTATTATCCTTTTTACATTTTTTTGAAGATCCAGTGGTCAAAGTAATGAACCTTATACACTAAAAACAAATAATTAAAAAAACAAACAAAACCCCCCCACCAAAAAACAGCCAACCAAACAAAACAGCCAAACCCACAAATTCTACATCCCTGCTTGAGTGAGGGATGTCCAAACTATTGATCTGCATCCCAGGGCTTAGCTAGTTAAGGAGAATTTTTTGAACTGTGAGACAGAAATATATCCCAAAAAATGAATCACCAAAACAGTATTTCCATCTGGCTGCTCCATCTCCTGGATCCAGCAATTCTCCCCTGTGGCCAACAATGCTTTTTTGGGGGGTTTTGCAGCTCACAGGGCACCTTTTGATTTCTGGTCTAACTCCATTCCACATTTTCCATGGAAGTTCCCCTCTGCTGCTGAGTCCAGTAAGAAATTTGCCTTCTTTACTCATAACACCTGCTCCTTCTTAGTTTTACCTACTCATCAAGAAGCAGTTTGCAGATGTTAATGTGCAGATTTGCCTCCTGGCAGACTCACAGTTTACAATTCATGTTGCTGACTTAGAAACTGATGCACGGAATTCAGTCACTACAGCCCAACAAAGAACGTGTTCAGTAGAACTCAGGGAGCTGCTTTTATTCTTATTTACATCAGCTGCTCTATGTCTCTATTCTTTTGTTAATTGTGGGAATTTATTCAGCACTGTCTTGCTTTCTACAAAAGGGAAGGCTTCCTGAGCGCATTAATTCGCTGCCTGGGAGAGGAAGGCTGATGTGTGGAATTTTTTGAGGAGTTTGCCAGATAAGGCCCCAAGTCCAAGCCAGACTTGCTATATTTATCTCTGATACAACTCTCAATTGCAGCAGTGATGTTACAGAAGCAGTTAATTTGGTGCTTAGGGTCCAAAGCAAGGTAAAGGCAACTTGATACTTGGTAATTTTGTATTATGCTACATTGGTCAGGAAATTTCACTTTTAAAAGGCTCTTTTGCAAGTACATCACAAGCAAACTCCTTTTCCTTGGTGTCAAGATGTTGCTTCCATGTCTCTTGGCACAGAGCAGTGTGTATTTTTCATGTTGTTGCAATCTAGAGCAAAGCTTGGTTCAGGTCAGATAATAATAAAATAAAAATCAGGGCCCAGCTGTATTAATTATGGTTACCTGTCTGTGCACAAACAAAAATGCTGATCCCAACACACGCTGTGTGCTCCAGCAGTGCCTCTGCAAACAGGGGTGTTCTCTGCCTGCCCAAGACAACACTGCAAGTGTGGGCAGGGAGTTAAGGAGCAGGTAAAATACCTGTCCTTGTTTGACACCAAACTCAGGGGGAAAAGAGTTCTCGAGCCCTTGCCCT